TTAATTTTAATTGACCCCTTACATTTTGAACGACATCAAAAGAAGATAATTAATCATTTTACTTAACACCGTTATTCATATCAAATATTCATCGACATTATTATTATATGTTTGTGTTTGTTAATTTTCAAAATTTTTTTAATTTAGAGCTAAGCCCAACTCTGGAAATATAGGCTCTATAGGTATATTTCACTATACTGATAAAATATTTTTTTATATATGGATGTTATATATGACGATCTTCTGGGAAATTTGTAACTGAGATTATGCTAGTAAAACTGTCCATTTTCTTTTTAAATTTTTATTTTAGAGATTTTGATTATAGTTGGTTTTTTACTCAGTGTTCATTCCGCACATCCTGTTAATCTCGATCTCAAGGCCTTTGAATTGCAACAATTACTCGATATAAAATAAAAGGTGTTTTAATTTTGGTTTTGGCTATTCAATAAGCATAATTCCAAGCAGATACACTTTCGTATTATTTTATGATTATATCAAATCTATTGTTAGCTTTTATTTTCCTGTCAGTTTGAATATTAAAATGTTCCGGAGGATTTTTGCATCGTTATTTTGAATAACTGTCTGGTTGATGCTCATACCATCTCTCAGTGCTTTCGATTTTGTGCTTCCTGCATAACTTATTTTGCACATATGTCGCGACCTTGCTATGTCTTTTGGGTATATTTAATTTTTCCCAGTCCCTGACATCAGAATATAAAATGGTCGACAGTTTCATCATATTTTCCTGCAGATCCTGCATTTCAGGTTAGTTCCATCCTTGATTATGTGACAGTGATATGATCTGGTTTAAATATTTGGTCTTGAGCTGCAATAATTAGATTTTCTGTTTTATGTTTTCAAAATGAAACTCCTCAGCAACTGATATGTTTTATCTTGGGGTCTGCAACAGTGGCCTTCTATGTTTTAAACGGACAATTTGCCATGCAATTAATTCTCCTACCAGATTTTTTTTGTTATTCATTTAAAAAAGGTTTTATACAACGTTTTATTTATGGTAAAACTTCGTTTTTTTGTTGGTCAATTTTCAGTTATATTAAGATTTTTACTTGAAGAGTTAAGCTTCGTTGTAACATTTGAATTTGATATCTTACAATTTGAAGGAGAGGGTCATTGGCTTTTTGTGAGGTAATTAAAAATTCGATTGTTGGAAATTTCTAGAGTTAGTTCAAGTTGGGTTCTAACTCGGAGACGAAAATAGATTGACAATCAACATCTGATTTCGTGATTGTTGCATCAAGAATTTGGGTAAGTATTCTTCTGGTTTTTGCCGTCCAGTAGTTTAATGTCATTCAACTTCCATGTAATAATGTTGAAGCTGTATGTTATTTAAAAGTATAGCTAAAGGCGTTGATAGGCTTCATTTATTGGTCCCATTATTTTAGGTATGTGCATGAATCAAGGAAGAAAAAAAGCAAACCATGAATAAAAAAGGATTTTAAATTTGATTAAAATAATTTTTTATCGTATAAATGTTAATGTTATTATCAAAAAAAAATGATCAAAGTATTTTTTTTGAATATTTTTTAAAATTTTTAATAATTTCTAGCACGTCCAAAATTTTCGTTAAAAATCTTCAATTTTTTTTGAATCGGAAAAATCGACAGAATATCGATAATCTCCCGTTTTTTTGATGTTTGTTTAAAAAAGTGAATTTTTGGTTTAAAATTTATAAAAAAATCAATTATGATATTTTTTAACTAATTTTAAAAAATTAGAAATTAGAAAGTTTATTTAGTATATTTTGAAACAAAAAAGAAAATTATTTTCTGTGATGAAAACATGTTTTTTCAAATGGGAAAAGCCGATCTGAACTGTGGTGTTGATTGACAAATGACGATTTTGCGTTAATTTTTCATCACGCACTGACATAAATGCTAATTTCTTCAAGATTTTCAAAATTAATGTGTGTCATAAGAAAAAATGCACAAAAAATTGCTATGTTATTTTTCCCAAAACTTCCGGTTGTAACGAGAAGAAAGTTTTTCAATCGAAAGTTAGAATGTTGTAATAAAGACAGAAAAAACAAAAAAAAATTCTAAAACAAATTTTGTTCTTTACTCTTATTCGTAACATAGACATTTTGGTTTTGAAAAAATTTTGTTTTCGTCAAGTTTGACGTCTTTTTTAATAACTATACGCTTTTTTTAGCGATCTCATGCATATAAACATTAAGTTCACTTTCTAGTATCAAACGCGCTTTCCTATAATATCCTTTTACGATATTTTCTTCATAATTGAATAAAGTTATATTTTTTTCTATTTCTAAGTATTTGTATATACCATATTGGTCTAGTTCCTTAACGTTGTGGTTGATATTCAGGCCTAAATTGGGAGTTTTTCGTTAGTTTATGGCATTGGAAAATGGTTTATAACATTGGTCGACTATGAACTCCATCCTAATGTCTATATATGAAGATTTTGACAATCGTGATTAGGACTAAATAGCTGGTCTTAAAAAAAACGTTTTATAATCATCAATATAAAATAGGTGATTCAGCTTGTCTTGCTGCAACTTGTATACGTAGCTACTGTTGTTCACAAGTAGAAAGCTGAGTGGTGCTAATAAGTAAACATTTAGTCATGACAATTAATTTGGAATATCCATCTTTTGATGTTGATTGGTCTTGATGTTAATGATCCGTTTGAATCGACCGAAAAGTAAAGTGTAGTCTTAAAATTTTTAATGCTTTTCGTTATGAATTTAGCCGTTTAAGGCACACTAAAATTATTTATATATATATATATATATATATATATATATATATATATATATATATATCTAACTATCCTCTCTGTCCTATCATGTCGCAAATTCCAACTCCTGCATATCATCTAGCAAAATACATTAACCAACTCATTACTCCCTACCTTCTTAGTAAATATAGTATTAAGTCAACATTAGAATTAATCCAAAAAATCTAAAAAGTGAAAAACCCGACAATGAAACCATAGCTTCACTTGATTTTGAAGACTTATTTACCAATGTCCCTGTTAGTGAAACTATTGACATAATTATGAGAAATATATACAGTAACTCATCTTTACCCCCACTTAAAATTAATCCTAATATATTAAGGAAACTACTATTAGCTTGTACTACTGAAGTCTCTTTTCTTCGATAATAATGATAATAATATATATATATATATATATAGAACGTGATGATGTCCCCAGATTTAAAAAAACATCCATCTACCTAAGATACGTTGATAATATTCTTATGTTAGTTAAAAATACAGATGAAATACTTCAACTTCAATAACGATTCCAAAATAATTCTGTCCTTAAATTCACGTAATGAAGTCAATACTAATAATAAAATTTTTCCTTGACATATTGATAAATACAAATACCAAATTTACTATTTCGCCATACAAAAAACCTACCAGCATAAATCCATGCACATTTAACTATAAGAGCGGATGCCCATATTTCTATAAAATAGCAATTAAAAAAAATCTAATACATCATGCAGAAACTAATTCATCCACAAAACAGATTTTTACAGTGAACTATCAAATATAAAACAAACGACAATGTATGTATTTACAAAACAAATTCCATTTGACGAAAGTAAAAAACACATGAAACTAGCTATAATAATAATGAGCTTGTTTGTTTCTGTGTATGGGTGTGTCTATGCATCTGCGCAACAACATGTGTGAGAGAGTACAGCAGTCAAGAGAGAAAAGCATGATTTGGACGTACTCCATTTGGGGACTCTTTATTGACGTGCGACCACATATTAAAATCAGAGTAAAAAAGTTGTAAAAGAGGCTATGGAGAGAAATGCACGCCTTTTTTTAGGCTGAAGGTCTTCCACCTATAGACGTTTTTAATGGCAAAGCCAAGTGGGGTACGCAAAAATATTTTGACGCTGGGTAGTCCCTTGCGTCTTAGTGGCATAATCGCCTTGCTTGGTGGGAATTGATTGAAATATATAAATATATAAAATGTTCGTTTTTTGATATATCACTACCACCAATTTTTTTTCATTATATTAATAAGGTAAAAATGGAAATATCAGTGTTGTGGTACGATCCACCTAATTTACATAGTGGAGTACCGACCATATAAATATGGGTTGGTACCGGGAAGACGATGGAGGAAGTAAGAAGAGATCCAATCCAGAGACTCTGCCCGACTGCGATTAAGTCAACCCATTCTACAGGAACAGTCTTCCCAAGAATATACCAAAACTAACTGTAAATATTGTGTACCTTTTCCTTGTTTCAATACATTTTGTTTACGTACATTTTGTGTTGTATTATTATTATTCCATGCTTATCCAAGCTTCAACAATCAGGAAGGCTTGTTTTCTATCTTCGAGAACCATCTTTTTGATTCTAGTATCAGTATTCACCGTTTCTTTTTAACGGAGGTCCAACAGCATAAAACAAGCATCGGTAAGGTATTTTTCAGTATTATTTATTAGTTTTCCATTACCAGGTTGTAGATTTTTTTAATTAATATACTAAACTGCCCAGACAATATGGCTGTTATATTTATTATCATTTATGACAGGCAGAAAGTAGTGATCTAAGCATCCACAGTCTACTTTACATTTTCTGCCCTCTTCGTATCATCATCATGTTGGTCGCCATGTTGTGAAGACTCCACAAACACGTTCTGTGTGCAAAAAGGAAAAATTCTCTCATGTCCATTTTCTTTGTAGAATAAGGAAAAAATTGCCTTCAGACGGATTCTGTTAATCACGTCTAATTGGCTGCAGTGTTCATTAAGTTTTAATGATTTTTTTGTCATGACGCAATTTCGTTGCTTTGTTGGATTTTTATCGCGCCTTTGTTCCTGCTCTTCGTTTTTGCTGTTTGCTTCTTTTTGAAAGCGAAACCTTCTTTAGATGAACTCTTTTATGTTTTGCCTCTGATTTTCTTCGGAATATTTTTTCATTTTATCTATTTTTCTCACACGCTATTTTTTGCTTATCTAGCTATCTAAATTTTTTTTTTCATTCTTCCATGTCTTTCTTTCGATCCTTTTTTTTCCTTGCTACAAATTTCTTTACAATTCTTCGATCAAAGCTATCATTCTTTCATTTATTCTTCCTGATTTTTTTTTTACTTGCCTTCCATTCTTTCTTTTCTTTTCTTTCTTTATTTCTTTCAGTCTTTCTTTCTTTCTTTTTTTTTTTCTTTCTTTCAGTCTTTCTTTCTTTCTTTCTTTCTTGTAAGGTGAGCATTCTTTCGTTAAGTCTTTCCTCAGCTTCTTTTCCTTTTCTTTTCGTTACTTTTTTTTACTTGATTAATTTTTTTTTAATTTTCCTTTTTCTTCAATTTCTTTCTTATTTTCTTTCTTTCTTTTTTTCTTTCTTCAATGCCTTTGTTTGTTTGTTTCAGAGCTACCAGTCGTTTCCTTAATTTTTCCGCAGCTTCCTTCCTTTTTTTTTCTTTCTTCTTTTTACTTGATTAATTTCCTTTTAGTCTCTCATTCTTCCTTCAGTTTCTTTTCTTTCTTTCTTTCTTTCTTTCTTTTCTTTCTTTCTTTCTTTTTTTCTTTCTTTCAAGGTTAAAATTGTTTTCGTTTATTCTTTCCTCAGCTTTTTGCTTTTTTTATCTTCACTTCTTTAATTTGATTAATTTTCTTTCTTTCTTTAAATGTTCTTTCTTCGTTGCCATTTTTCATTCTTTTTAAAATTTTTTTCTTTCTTTCTTTCTTTCTTTCTTTCTTTCTTTCTTTCAAGGTTAAAATTCTTTCGTTTATTCTTTCCTCAGCTTTCTTGCTTTCTTTTTTCTTCACTTCTTTAATTTGATTAATTTTCTTTCTTTCTTTCCCTCTTTTCTTCATTGCCATTTTTCATTCTTTAAAGTCTCTATTTTCTTTTTTCTTTCTTTTCTTTTCTTTTTTTTAAATTTTCTTTCTTTCTTTCTTAATTTCTTTCAAGGTTACCATTCTTTCGTTAATAAGTTTTCCCCAGCTTCCTTCCTTTTCGTTTTCTTTTCTTCTTTAATTTGATTAATTTTTTTTCTTTCTTTCCCTCTTTCTTCATTGCCATTTTTCATTCTTTTTAAAGCCTTTCTTTCTTTTTTCTTTCTTTCTTTCTTTCTTTCTTTCTTTCTTTTTTCTTTCTTTCTTCAAAGCCTTTGTTTGTTTGTTTCTTTCTTTGATACTACTTTTCCTTCCTTATTTCTTAGTGCTTTTTCTTATTGTTTCTTTTCCTCGTTTTATTATTTTCTTTCACCATCCAATCGTTCCTTGAATTTGAATACTATAAAGTAGTTTTGATATTTTATTTAATAAAATATTTTTTCTAAATAAACAGATGTCGTGCTGTTATTCAAAATTATAAATGGCTTCCATCGTGGTAACCAGAGCTTAAAACCTCACCGAGCTGTATGATATCATCAATACAGGTTATATGGTAACAATTGAATTTTTTTTTACCAATACCCGTCGTGAAATTGGCAATCGCGGTTTTCTCAGATGGCCTGCTCACTTTGCAAATTTTCTTTCTTTCTTTCTTTTTTTTTCTTTCTTTTTTGTTTTGAACGGATGATAAAAGCCCCCCAAAAAAATAACTCGAGACAACAACCACAACCATTCTAACGCAAAGTTAAAGTAGTGGTTGCAAGGATTTAGTTTGTCTATCTATAGATATTTCAAGATATTTTTTTTTTTTAAGTCAATATTAGCAATATTTTTAAATTCCTCGTCCGAGTTCTGACTTGTGCGGAGCGATAAGCGGTTAGCTAATTGCATCATATATTTTGTATTGATAATTACTGTGGTTGTAGAGTTTTCTTCTTGTCCGTTTTATTTATGGCCGTTTTTATTGCATTAATAAGATTTTGAACCCCTAATAAGATATTTAAATATATATGAGCATTGTACTTTTCAATATTAAATCATATATATTTTTGCAATCCTTCACGCTACAAAATCTCCAGACAGCCCTTCTTGAACACCGTCTTCCTCTTCTTCAGTCTCTGTCTTTATAAACGAATTTTATATCCATATTCTTGTCAGACGATAAATAAATCATTCCTTGTCATTACGATCTTGTTGTCTCGATTTTTTCTTTTATGTCATCCGTTCAAAACTGAGACCATATTCCATCGGAAAGATAATGCATATTCCCAATTATTAGATTTGCAAATCCGGATGTAAGGGAAGATATTGCAAATTTTCGGAATTTTTTAAACATTTGAGAAAGCCGCAGAACATCACCCTTCTATTTTCCGAAGTAGTCGTGTCAGTTCACAGAAAATGACAAATAAAATGACATTTTTTGTCATATCAATAATTTAATTAATCCCCCCTCCAAATGCCTGAAATCTAAAAAAAAAAAAAAAAATAAAATTCCATAAAACGTACATAGCTAAAAGGGACAAAAGGTAAACTAAAACTACATAATATGAAAAGTAAAAAAAAAAAAGAATAGAAAATACTATAGATGACAACGCAAAAATTTGTATTGAACCAAGACAATCGTTTTTATACATGAAACATGGATAGGCTGTTAGGACTTAGTATAATTTGTCTATATATATATATATATATATATATATATATATATATATATATATAAATATATGGTATATATATAAAAATATGATGAAAATGGTATGCGATATCTGTCCATATATATATATATATATATATATATATATATATATATATCCGTATTAATATATTATTTATACGTGTGTATTTTTTTCTTCATGTTTCCTTTTTTCGTCCGAGTTATGACAAGTGAGGAGCGATAACCGGTTAGTTCATTTCTTTGTATTTGTTAGTTTCTCCATTATTTTTTTTTGTATTGTTAACTACTGTTGTTGAATTTTACATAATGTCTATTTTAATTATATCTGATTTATTGCATTAATTAAATTGCGTATCTCTAATGTGTTACAGCACAGCAATATTTAGGACTTGTCCGAATTCTTCTTTTCTTAAAATTTGCGGGATACAAGTGACAATATGTTTGTTAATATATTTTATTCCTATGTTCTCTCCTCCTGGGTATGACGATAAACTACTTCCAGCAGCAAGGCGTCTGACCAGGAGGTTTTGAGGGCGTGGAACAAGCTCTTAATTATTGTTGTTACCAGGTCCACCCTGAAAAAGGTGGTTGAGTCCCAGCTATGGGCAAATAGGGAATCCTCAAACTGGTGTCATAAACATGAACATATAAAATTACATTACAAATATTACCAATTAATACATTTTCATCGTAAAAAATTACTGAAAAATGAAAAAAATATCAAACCTCACGCGAAAATAAAAATTCGACATTAAATGATTCATAAGAAGTCGATATATCGTGAAAAAAAAAAGAATACCAAGCCAAATCCAATAATCGCACCTTCAAAGACACATCATTTTTGCGTCATCATGACACCATATTACACTGTCGTATAAGCTTATTTGGTTGTTTATCTAAACTGCATCCAGCATCTTGAGTGAAATTATCAGTGTATATATTTGGATAGGCGTATGATGCTGTTATACCAGATACTGTTTTAGATTTTATAGTTTATGTTCATACGTAGGATGGGTGACAAATGTCACTCGAAGCCTGAACACAATTAGTGAATGACACTTGGCCCGCTCTATGGGTTACAAATTCTTGTCGATGACTCTGCGCAATTGGCAGTCTCCCGAACGGCGTATGTTTGCCTAATGGAAATCGATGACAGAGCACGTCATCATGTCTCTCGCACGCTTTATGGATGACAAACGATGGCTGAGATTAATTATAAATTGTCTTCCGTATGCCGTATGTGTGAAAATGGTACGCGATGTCTTTTCATAATTATTAGTTCCCTCTCGTAATCTGTATGGGTGTCTGGATATCTATGCGCAGTAATTAGCTGACACTCACAAGTCTTATGGGTTAAAATACCACTCGACAGGTGTGCGCAATCATAGAAAGTCTCTCCTAGGCCGTGTGTTTGACAAATGGCACCAGATGTCTGTCGAACGTTGTATGGGTGGACAATGAAACTCACATTAAGGGACTCACTATCACCCATCTCCGTAAGCCGTATGGGTGGAAAATGACACATGATGGCAGAGTACAGTTATCAGACGTCTCTGGTACGCCGTATGTGTGACATGTTGCTCGACGGCAGAGCTCATTTATCAGATGTATTCCTATACGCTGAATGGGCAATCAATGGCATTTTGATGACGGAAATTAATTGCCACCTATATCCCAGTAAACCGTATACTTGTCAAATGATGGCTGAGCGCAACGATCATCTGTCTCCTGTACACTGCGTTGCGGACAAATATCATTCAAAGCCTGTACCCAATCTGCAGATGCTTCCCGTGCCCCTTATTAGTGACAAATAACACTCGACAGCTGAGTACAGTCATAAGCTGACTCTCGTAAGATGTATTTTGACAAGTGACTCTTGATGACAGAGTACTGTCATAAACAGACTCTAGTATACCCGATTGGTTGACAAATAGCACTCGATGGTTGAGCATAATCATAAAATGTCTTCTGTAAATCAAATGATTTAGGACTGAATGCAATCATCAGCTGTTTCTCGTATGCCTTATGTGGGGAAAATGGCATTTGTTGTTTTGTGTATTATCATTAACTCCCCCTAACCGTATGTTTGACAAATGGCACCCAATGGCTGTGTACAATCATCGGTAGTCTTCCGTACGCCGTATGTGTGATAAAGGCACTCGATGGCAGAGCTCACTCATTAACAGATGTCTCTCGTACGCTGTATATATGATCAATGGCGTGCGATGGTGTAGACTAATTATCACCTGTCTCTTGTACACTTCATGGATGATAAATGTCAATCGACGGCAGAGGACAGTTATCAGCTTTCTCACATCATTAAATAACACTTGATAGCGGAGACCAATCATCATCTGTTTCCATCTTATGCACTGTAACTATGAACACTAATGGATATGTCCCAATCCTCATAAATACGTTGGACACTATTGTAAGTGGGGGTTAATATGCTGTCTAAGTAGTCCACCACTAGCAGTGGTTTACCTACTTCACGCCGCTGGCGAGTATTGTATTTTATTGATGTTATAAAGATTACCATTTCATTTCTAACCTCTGTTTTGGCTATTCCTCATTCAGTAACCCTTCTGAAGTTACGACACTCCCGTAAGCCGTATGAGTGACAAATGATAGCTGTTCGCAAACATCACTACTTTCCTATACGCTTTATGACTGACAAATGCCACAGGTTTGCTAAAAAGCAATAAACAACTTCAGAAGCGGTATAGGTATCAAATGGCATTCAATGATAAAACAGTCATACATTGATTGTCGAAAGCCGTATGGATGGCAAATGACAGACAATAGCTGTGCCCAAGCTGTTCATCATGAGCCATATCTGTGACAAATTGCACAATAGAGGAGCACAATCATGGGTTACCACTCACAAGCCATATGGACAATAAAATGGCACTCGGTGGCTGTGTACACTCATCATATGTCTATTGAAAGCTTTATAGAGAACAAATGATGATTTGGTCCATCATCAGTTGTCACTTGATACTGTATAGGTGAAAATGATACTTGATTGTTGACTCAATCATCAGCTACCTCCTGTAAACCGTACTGGAGACAAATAGCATTCGAAGGCTGAGTACAATCCTAATCTGCCTCCTGCAAGCTGTATGGGTGACAAATTATTGCGGAACTCTCTCATCGGCTGTCTTCCGGTTGCCGTATGTATGACAAATAGCACTCGATGGATATGAGTAATCATCGGCTGTCTTCTGGCTTCCGTATGTATGACAAATGACATTCAATGACTGTGCACAATCATCACCTGTCAACTGTAAGCCGAATTGGTGACAAATGAAGGCTGAACGCAATCGCCAGCAGTCTAATCCGTATGGTTGACAAACGACATTCGATGACATTCATACGTCATCTTACTCTAATATACCAAAAAATAGACAATGCTATTCGTAATGGACATGTTATTCTTTGTCTTACAATGAAATATTTAACATTCATTGAGAGAGCAGCCATATTACTGTATGTTTCTCAATACAAGTAGCTGTTATGTCTTTCCAGTATTTAGGGGATTCTCTTCCTAACATTTTATTTGAAGTAGTGTGTTCTGTTAACACTTTGATTATATCATTATTTTTCTTCGAAATTCAGATACTGTCTTTGGAATGATGTAGTTGTAATATAAACCGCTTATAGTAAAAATCATTAGAAATGCATTTCCTTGATACATTTAAAATGCCTATCGTCTA